TTACGTATCTTTCCGGTACTCTCTGACCTGTCCGCGCGCATCTTATTTCGATGAACACACGCTTACAACTTTTGGAGATTTTTTCCTATTAAAATTTTGCCCCTTAGAAATTCGCTCCCACCTCGAAGAGTTCGTGCCGTCAAGTATAACAAGTTTGCACCTACTTTCAACAATTCGCTTCCAAATCTTTCATCCCATTTCCCTTTTACAAAACCTGTTCCTTTCCTGACGATACAATGATACTTACAGGCTTTAAATAAATGATTTTACACGCGATTCGTGCGTTTTGCTTTTGAATAATCAGGAACAACTGTCTCAAAATTTCGATGCATATATATATATACTGTTAATAATAAATCACACGATTTTCGTCGTCCAGTTTGGAATGAATTAGCACTCGTAATTTATTGCTCATGCACGTTTATTCCGAATCACACTCCAAATCAGTGCGATTACTTGTACTGATGATCACAGCATACAACACCAGGGGTGGACATTTTGTTTATTGGTACAGCATAGAGCAATGAGAAAACATAGGGATATGTTTTTGAGGGATATAACCAAAAAATTTTCCCAAGATTTTAAAAACATGCCTCAACTGATTGTTGCTTAACTTATAAATACCCTACCAGTCGCCCTATGCAATTGAGATGCGCGCGCTGGGTCCGTTTATTTTACGCTTTTTTCGTATGCAAGATTGTGTACGTCATGCGCGATAACGGTTCATTTTAAGAGAGAAAAAGACACAACGTAGAGGGACAGAAAACACACAATAAGGTACGTTGTTAATTGTGGACTCTATTTTCAATGGGAATGTCATTTATCTCGATGAAGTGGCATTTCATTTTCATCACCTAAATCTGATGTGCTGTAAAATTCAGTGGTCTCAGAAATAAAGGAGAGCGCGTCTATAGGTCTCTGTGTCTCCTTCGAAGAGTTCAAGCGGTCAAGATTATCTATAAAAATTTAACCCTCGACGAGTCGTGGTCCTGAATATTTAGAAATCTTCTGTACTGATATTGGTATCTTTTCCAACTTAGTATCAGAAACTAATGTTTTGCTCACCAGGAAAGAAATCAGGCTGGTATGAAGCCTGCTGCTTTCACTGCGTATGACTCTGAAAGGAAATGTTCCAGCGGCGCTTCTCAGCCGGAGTCTGTGACGAGTCAGATAGGCTCGCCAATAGCTAGCTTGAACTGCCTTCACAGAGCAACCACAGGTAAGTCATATCATATTTTCCTTTATCTTTTGATCCTTTCCTCTGGTCAAGCCGATGTCTCAAAACGAACCCGCAGTGCATGTGTGGCTCTTCCTCACACTCATAAAAATGTCAATACATTTTATTTACTTTTCTGTGTGCATCCTAATTTTAAAGTTATAAATATTGGTAAAACTTGAGCCTATGACATTTCAAATGCAGCACCAGTATTCTTTGCTGCCTCCATTGTGGAAGTTTTATGTTTTTATTCCATATCTTTGTCATGGCAGACCTTCATCCTTTCGCTCCACTTCAGCCCTCTGCGGTGACATTTAATGCTGGGATTGCTTTCGACTATATCAACTTTCCAAGGATTGTATCAGTGTGTTGGCCGGAATGCAATACCCAAGCTGGTACTTCTGTGGTGGTAAGAGATGAGTTACAGATGAGAACGAATAAAACTGCATTCAGCGATATTGAGGTGATAACGGGTGCATCTGTATTCAACTGTGACCCGACTCGTACTGAGCGTCTGGGACCTCCTATTGACACCACACACCCGGTGAAAAAAGAACATATGGGGGGAGCGAAGGAAAATACGCCTTCTACAGAGGAAACGACAACCTTAACTCTACTTCAAGATGAACGCCAAACACAGAAACAAAGAGAGCATTGTAGATCGACAGATCTTTATGTGTCCACGAAAGTAGAAGCCAACTTGAAATACAAAAAGAATTCAAGAGAAAAACCAATTGACTTTATCCAAGAAGGTTCACATAATAGCCGTAGTAGAAGTCGCGAAGCGAGCCAACGGGATGTTTTGGACTGCGCTAAACCAAAATTACATATGAAGTTTTGCGCGCTTGATGATGATAAGCAGGGGATTTTCAAAGCGCAGAGCAGCTTTATCGGTGTGAGACGCGATGACAAAAAACTTTCACAATCAGGCGTTGGAAACGTGACTAACAAACAATTCGAAGGGAGTGTAAAGTTTCAATCATCGGAAACAAGCATGGGTCTCAAAGAAAGTACACGTCCACAAAAAGATAACATGGCAAGTTTTTCATGCGAGGTTTGGTTTTTGTTTTTAATTTTTTTTTGATGTGAGATGAGTTTAGCAGTCATTTAGATTGTGTTGGATGCCACGTGAACCTGACATAGCAGTTCATAGCCACTTAGGAATCCTTTGGTCCGTTTGTCCGTTACAATTTCTAAGATACCGGAAATATGCATATTTGGTGTTCCGGCAAATGAGAAAGAACAACATATTTCTTATGGAAGCGAGGCAAGCTACGACAGGAGCTTATTGATGGGCTCCTGGCTATGGTCATAATTCTAAACGCAACCAATATTTTGTATTTGTGTAAAAGATTTGTAAACGTCTAAAGCTTTAGCTTTTTTTTTTTTTTTAAGAAACCGTCTAAGTTTTTTTTTTATTTCCAGGATAGCTATGGTTCTATCGCCGTTCGTCCAGCTACTAAAGAAAAGAGACTTCAAAATCATTTGCAAAAGGACAATGCCCGAGAAAATGTGCGTGACTTGGTCAGAAGAATCCGGTTTATCAAAAGTCGACTTGATAGGGCGGAGTCCGACTTCAGGAAGAAACGAATGCTGAAAGCTATAGTTGGTTTACGGAAAAAAGTCAAATCTCTCATCGAAGGTATGAGGAATGACAAAGCCGAGCAAGGCAAAAGTCAACAGAAAACTGGCGCTAGTTGCCTTCATAAGAAAGTGGATAACAGCAAGGAAACTGCGCAGGAGAACAACAAAAATATGAACGCAAGCTCAATTGTAATTAGCGCAACTGATGGTAAACTGGTAACTGATCAAGTTATCGTGAATATTGGTAAGCTTCTATCTTATTCGTTTTCATTTGTTCACAACTTTCAGCTGAACATCGTGATCTTTTGTTTTCTTTCTTTTTGATCTATTTGATATTGTGACCTATTCATTGAGAAACATTGAGGATTTATTAACTACAGATATTTTCAGCCCTTTAAAGAGATAAATATCATACTAAAATTTACCTCCCTCCTAGGCTACCTCTCTGTAACGGCCACTTTCTTCTGACCCCCAATGTGGCTGTTCATACCAGTCTGAAACTAAAATTTCTTTTAACTGATGATCTTAAAGCGTTTTAAGGGTTACTTTTAATTACCTGCCCCAGAATGTAATGCTATTTTTGCAACGTAACCTAGCAAGCAACCTACTGCAGAGAATGATTTATATATTCTCTGAGCGCCAAAACAAGAGCCAAAATAACAACAACGAAATACATATAATTCGTGTTAAAAACGATCTTGAAAACCCAAGGAATGTAATTAAAAATTTTTCTCCTTAGACGGGGATACCAAGGAACACTGCAATTACAAACAAAATAGCGGAGAGCTCACCAATGCAACCAAAATTGAGGACGAGTACAGACCTAAAACATCCTACAATTATGACATCCAGATGAAAAATGACTATCGTCGAAAGGGTCGTGGAAGCTTGACTTTGATAAAATCGAATGTAGGAAATGAGTCATTTCTACGACTTCCATTCGAAGTTGGATTAGATCTTTCATCTCCTTGCAAGAAAAGGTCTGCCTCCTCATCTGACGCTGATCAAGCAGAGAACGGCGGGGCAAAGAAGGTGAAAGTTCTGTCATTATCAGGCCAGAAATTAGTGGCTAGGATCAATACCAACACTGAAGAAGTGACATGTAATGTTCGAAGTGTCACGCAATCTGGAGTAGAAGAAAATAATGTGACACCAACTGACGATTGTGCCATATTAGCCAGGAGAGAATTTGTTTTATGTTACCCTGATTTCACGCAATGCAAACATTGCAAAGATGAAGGTTACGCAAGCGTCAAAATGGAACCATCAGATCCGCCTTTGGATTACGCAGTGCATAATCAGGCAAATGACGCAAAAGAGGAAAGTCAAGGAGATAAAGGACCTGGAAAAGATAATTTTGGGGAAGGTATTGATCCTTTTTATATGTAGGGGGCCTTCCAGTTGCAATTATTTGAGTACATACAAATATAAGTCTTTTTGATCCTTTATTATATGTTGGTCTCCAAATTCTCATGTATACCTTCGAGGGTAATGAGGCTTATTTACTTGCAAATTAAAAAAAAGGAATGAGCTTTGTTTTAAGAGGTCTATGTTGCCTGATTTGCGTCTCATAACGATTTCTCCCGAACCTTAAGACTCTCACCATCTATAAATATGGGAATATTTCCAGTGAATTCTGTCACAATACTGAGTGCTTTCATCTTGAGATGCGGCCTCGAAGTCCGCGTTACAAAACGGCTCAGTCTGACTAGCCAAAGGACCCGTTGAATGTAATTGTCAGTTTACTTTTTCGTAACAGGTTGTCAAGTGTCATTGGAAAACAGAAAAGAAAAACAATTCACTACCGAAAGCACTCATGAATACCATGAAACGGGCGAAAAGCAACCTGAATACTCACAAGTGTCAGAATGTAAATTTTGTGCAGGGATTAACTACCCACAACTCGACCAAAGAGAGGAAAAGGACAATGCAAAACCACAAGAAAATCAAGGGCCCTCGCTCGAAAGAATTTTACAAGACGAAGAAAAGCAAGGGTTTACAAGTCCCAGAATCTATAATCCAAGTGGAAGACAAGAGGACATCGACTTAATACAAAGTTTGCAAATCCGCGAGGCGCGAATTCGAAATCTGGCGCGAAAGAGAGAAAGGCTTTTAAATCTGGCGGAGATCAAATTCAGATAAAGAATCCTATATCCGCATCTGTGTTACCTTACTTTTTCCAAAGAGTAACCATAATACATTACGTTTTACCAATAAATACTACTTTAATATTCACATTTTTCAATCACTATAGCAGGGTTTCAATGTTCAATTGGCAACTGCACATGTGACCACATTTTAAATTATGTTCTATGTACTTTCCATACAATTTTATTGTAAAGAAGTTTAAAAATAAAACAGGAACAAAGATTTACTCACCTATCTTTGTAATATGTTAAATCATAGACTTAGATCATTTAAAATGTCAGAATAAAAAACAGTTACAAACATTGTACCACAGTTCGAAGTTATTCTCTTCTCAGCTAAAACTTTTTCAGCATGATTAAGTTACTCTATTTACTTCGAGCGCGTTATGTTTGTTTTTAGGCATGAAAAGTCTGTAGGGGCCTTGAAAATTTAATTTTACAATTAACCTTAACGTTTGAACTCTTAAGTTTTAAATATATACCCTTTCAAGAGATTTTTGTCCAAAAAAGTTGATCTCTCAGTCATCTTCAATGACAATAACGTCAGCCGTACCGGGAACGTGAGACAAGTTTCTCTCCACCTTTGACTCAGGGCAGCATGAATGTTTTTTCTTCGATTTACCCCTTTCTTTCACTGTTTGTCTGCTAGTGGTTGGACTTTCTTTCTCTAGCTGTTCTCGAAGTGTGAGATCATTTTGAGAATTTTTTTGGGTGGGATCCTCAGTTTTCTCGAAATTATCTCCGTTGCGATTGTAGGGCTTAGACATTCCCATAGGACTTTCTGGTACTGCTCCATTACTGACGCAAGTCTTCTGATAGTTGCCACGTTGTAGTTCCATTCCTTCCCAGACGTTGTCGCCTGCCGTATTTCTCTCGGCGTCCAATGGTTTAGCAACTTCCCATGAATCAGCGACGTCTGTGATACCTCGATTTAGTGCATCCTCAAGGTATCTTTGCTGAAAACTGATGTGGGCACGCCTAGGTTGCCATTCAAGTGGCTGTTGGGTCTTTCGAGTGGCTCCCTCCGATACTGTGTGAACTAAAACATTTTTCTCACCAGCAGCACTGGTATTGTAACATGGACACTCCCTGCTTTGTAGGAAGTCGGTGGAAGCAGCAACGCAAGACTGAAAGAGTCCATTTTCACCTTGTCTTGTTTGATTTGAATGCATCCGTAATGCCTCATTTCGTCCATTCAGGAGTTGCTGTATGGTCTTCGAATTATAACATTCCTGTCTGAGTGAATGACAGGTGTCGGCTAAAACGGCACGCTGCTGGATAATGGTGTCTGGGCTTGGTCTTTTCCTAAAAAACTTGGCATTGTGATCCGGCACTTCATTAGGAATTCTCAAAAGGACTGGTACTGGTTCGGAAGGAGTTGAAGCTTGTGCGACTCTGGAACTTTCCACAGCTCTATTTCCAGCCGGGGGTGCTGCACTAGTGCTGCATTTTCCATGGCTGTCTTCTGACAAAAGTTTACTAAGCTGTCGAAATTGCCTATTACGTGGCGACTTCTCGTAGATGTACATGCGACCGGAAGCACCAGGTTTGGCGACGTTGATCACGTCGTTTGCACTTGTCTTGCTCAGGCTGAAAATCTGTTTTGTATCTTCAGATGGCTTGTTCACGGAACCAGATGTTGACAAGGCATGCTCGTTTGAGTCATATCGATGAGCGATAAAATTTATCGAATCGCTTCGGTGCAATGTCCCAGGTGGCAAAGTGTTTCCAAGAGCGAACCTTTCGTTGGTGGCTTCTTTCGCAGGTTGATTCTCAAGGAAATTTTGCTGCCCAATGCCAACTGCATGAATTTTCCTGGCTGAACTCTTCACTTCAGTATTTAAGTATTGCTGTTGATGGTAAAGTGCATCAAATTCTTGATATCTATCCAAATTGTTTGGATTTACAATGCTTTGTAGGTTTCTTTCTCTTCCAGACAAAGTGGAAGCACATCTGGGAGTGGAGTGTGTGGTACTGAAAACATAAATACCTCGATCGTTTGCTAGTGTATCTGTAGATTCCTGTGGAAGACTGTGCTTTCCAACGAACACAGTGTCCTTGTGATTAGATATCTCTTTCCTTATACCATTTAGCACTTGCTTTAGTAGTAGCCTTTTATTTTGCAAAGACATCGTCGAGGGATGACAATGGCTTTTCATCTGACCACCATTCCGGACAAGTGCACCTCTGGATAAAATCGCACCATTTTCATTCAGCGATTTTGCTCTTTCCTGCATGTTCTCTTCTCTCATTACTCTGTAAATCGTGTCTGAATCCAGCTGGCGACTAGAAATAGAAGAAACTGTATCTGTCGCGTCTCCGTGATAGAGGCTATCCTGCAGTGCTGCTACAGAAAGAGAGGTCTTAGCAGGATGCTGTAGGGTCGCAGGTTGATCCGTCTGCTGCTCATGTCTGATAGCTCCTCTGTCATTAATCTGTAACTTAAGTCTTTCAGCTTCTGGAAGTTTAGCAAGAATGGCTCTCTTCCCTTTATGGTTGGTATGAATCAAGTATGACCTTCCTTCGTAGTCAAAATGTTCCACCGCAAACACTTTATCTTTCACAACGAGAAACAAATCACTCCTACCATTTGGTTTTTTAAAATTGAACAAGAGGTCGTACGGCTTCTTGGAAGGTGAACTTGAACGACAGTGACGTTTACGCGGCGGGCTGCTGGCAGCCATTCGATGGATGTCAACAGCTTCTTGCTTATTGACAGATTTGATATTTGTGGGAGACTCACGGGGATTCAGCTTCTTATTTGAATACATCAATGTCGAGCTGACAAGAGAGGGTGCCGAGGATGTTTCTGTATTTTTCGCAATCTCTCTTTTTCTTGAATAGTGACGAGTTTGTGCGAGCAGAGAAGCATTACGATTTTCCTGTGAGCTGGATAAAAGACTTTTAGCGGTAGGTATTTCAGCGACTGACTTGGAAGTTTTTCGTGGCAACGTCGCCTTTTCACGTCGACTTGAGTGATTTGCATCCATCAAAGGACTTGTGGAAACATCTGAAGAGATGCTTGTAGTAAGAACAAGAGGAATTATGGGTGATGCTCTTAGCCTGTCCTGCGTATGACATTTGGAGTCTCTACGAACCATGGATTCATCAGATGATAGGCTTTGATTAGATCGTGGCAGGGGAAATGCTTTGGGTGAAACAGGACTCACTATGTCACCCTCCGTCTCGCTGTCGTAATTTAGAGTTCCAAAGTTCCAGTCGTCTGCAGTTTCCTTTTGTAAAAGTTCATTGGGCAGTGGTGAACCATAATCATGGTCAAAATGGGTATTTGCTCCTTTCTGGGGTGAAAACGCCGATGATGTTTGAATTGAGTGTACCCCGACAAGTTTAGGAAAGAATTCATGATCAATTGCAACACCTTTATTTGTGCTGGAGCTGCGACAATTCAGTGTTCTAAAAACTGGAAGAGCTGCTTTAACTTGGCCATTGGCTGAAGATGGTAAAGCATCCAGATTTTCCTGGGCTGCGTTCACAGCTACTCGAGGCGAACTTTCAAAGACATTCTCTTGTCGCTTTAAATCCATAATACCAACGGAACGTAATGTCGCATTGGAGGTTCCACAGGCAAATGTTTTCTTTCTCCGAAACGACGCGGATGGCACAGAGTTATTCCTTTCGAGCGAACAAGCCACTTCACTGACAATCTGCTGCAAACTCGCTTTATTTGAGGGTGAAATACTACCACCATTTTCCAAGGACGCTAAATCTTCCTCAGTCTGTTTGAAACGTTTCAAATGATACGGAGCCATATCGTGTTCGCTGTCAGTCAAAGACCTTTTGACAGGTGGATCAAATGAACTGGATAAATTGTGAAAAATTTCTTTTATAGGGGAATTTTCTTTTTTCAAGGCGCACGTGAGGAAAGGCCCTTCGTTTGTCCGCTTAGGACTTGGAAACGGATGTTTCTCTTCCTTTGGGAGTGGTTGCATTTCCACGCGCCAGAGTCAATGGTTTCATTCAAAAGCCTATCTTTCTCACGGAAGTTTGATAGAGTTAGGCATCAAACCTGCAAAAAATACAAAATAATGTTTAAAAAAAAAGACAACAACAACATGCAAACCCCTTGCACTGCCAAGATTTAAGGGCGACTTCTCCCAAAATGTAATCATCACTTCCTTGTTGACCAATTCCTAGAATCTGGTGTGGCATCGAGGTTACAATTGCCCATGCAGTTAAAAAATTTTGTTAACCTTCATAACCTCTCTTATTGACAGTGTCGTATGACCGTAAGAAGATTCTCCTCATTAATCATTTTAATTTGAGCAAGTGGAAGGGTTAAGTGACCAGGAGCATTGCTACAAGTTTGACTTCAGAGGAGAGGCAAAAGTCGCTGTTAGACAGAATTTCCACGACTCAGCCGAGAATGAAACATAGAGTCTGTTCGCGAGCATAAATATGTTTTGGGCCCGACTCAATGTCATTTTAGCCTAAGCCGCTAGGCGAGGATTAACATGATTCTGAGAAGGGTCTAAAACATACTTATCCCCGCAAACATAAACTGTATGAATAATACACTATTATTATCAGTTTGGAGGGCATTGAGAGAATTACGACTGAAAAAAGGACAACATGCGTACAAACAGTCTGAACACCCATGCAAGCGTGCGTGCGGGCTAGAATACATTTTAGCCCGCCAAAATCTCTATTTTAGCCCGCAGAATGCGCCACAATGCCCGACAAAGTGACAATAATAGAGAATTTGGAACCATTTAAAAATCAAAATAAACCAAGCTCTGTGATTTTCATTGAACCAAAACTAATGGAAAAATTCTTGTGTTTTCCAACAAGTTGATTTGTAATTTGTTTTTGTTAATAAGCGCCCCTATTGAGTAAGCTTCCTCATTCCAATAAACGCCTCTATTCTGTTTCAGTAATAGCACTTTTACAGTACATGTACAGTGAGATCAACTGTGTTCCATCTTCCTTTCATTGCTTACTTAAAGCTTCACGACAAAAAGTGGTCTTCGTCTCAGTTTCCCAACTATCCACAGTTCATTCGAGCGAAAGATCTCGTCTTAAAATTTTGCGACGATAACTTGTGCCAATCGCTATAGCAAGGAAGGATCTAGGGACAACAAGTCTGTTTTTCTGTCTTTTTGATCCTCAGCCAACTAACCATTAAAGCCTTGTTTCACATTCTGCTGTTCCTCAAAAACGAAATAAGCGCCCTGTTTCGAACAGGGGCCCTCCCTTGAGGTTCCAAAAGTAAATAAGCACCCCGGGCGCTTAATCAAATCATTACAACGGTAATTACAAGTCCAGAGTCTGGTTCAATAAACAGGGACTTTCTCATTCTAGTCGACTCAAGTTCAAATTAATAAACTGATCAGTAAAAATTGCTTTTAAACCTGGCCTTGTGTTGAAAGAGTTGGCTATCAGGTCTTGGTAGTATAGCGATTTTTAAGGTTCGTTATGAAGCTGATAGTGTCCTTCCTACGTTACTTCATGCGGATGTGCATTGGAAGGTATACCGCTGTATTAACATTTCCGGTAATCTTGAAGCATTTCACTATTCAAACTTTCTGGGGCGGAGAGGATTGCGTGACAACTCAAACCTCATGTTCTGGAGGCTAAAAGCTTTTCCTTCACTGATTTCCCAAGAAACTACTAGCCAAAAAGAATTTTAACGAACGATTTCTTGTATAAAATCTGGAATGCAGGATTCCCCTTCCTAGAGTGGTCACTAAATCAATTGTTTAGCCTATGAACACGCGATAAGAAATGAAGCAAGCGAAAAAGTTCAGGCATTGGCCATCGATGGACAGTTTGATTCATTGTTCCCTTTGCTCAGAATCGCCGATAGTGAATGGAAAGCGGATGAGCATCGCGCTTCGACTGCACGACTTCCCATTACCTCAAAGCTTGTAAAAGCTGACGCAAGTATCGAAAGTAGCGTGTAAGAAAACACGCGAGCTAATATCGCGAAGTAACGATTGCGACCCTTTTTCTCGCTTGCGCTTTCGCGTCGTCAGTGAATTAAAAACCGTCACATTCCTCCTATGTGAAACTACCTTAACTCTACCCAATACTGTCTATACGTCGTAAAAATAATTATTGGGTACCGCTTTAGCCGGAGACACCAAACGCGCTATTTTACACTCACCTCGTCTTCCTCACTGCCATTTTCTTTGTTAGAATATAAAAACCGTTCCAGGAAACTGATTTAGTACGTATTTTGCCGGCTGCGTCTTCCGTTCGCACTGAATCAGTTTAATTGCTTTTGTTTTCAACCAGTAGTCGACGTGAATATCACATCCTGGTACCAGCTGAAACGAACATTATATTTGTCTTCTTTGATTTAAAAAAAACACGGATAGGAAGCCAGCTGTTTACTTCGGTTAAGTTTTTTTTCAAACGTTTGTGTATTGCCGAGGTCATGGCTTATTTCTGCGAATTATGGACAGTAATGAGATTTGCGAAATCGTTGCGCCCTCGAATTAATCGTAATCTTTTTGAAAACAATCTATGATCCAAGCAATATTATGGTTGACACTTGGCACGAGAATATACATTCGTTGATTCTACTATCGACTTGTATTTCCTGAGAACGTGCTACTTACATGATCTGTCACAAGGGCCACCTACAATGCAAGATTTCTGGGGATACAATTACCTTAAGAGACCTTGCTTATCTTGGCACGCTTAGCCTAGCCTCATTATAATGCTTTTCGGTTTAAAAAATCTGCCAATTCAGTAGCAATGGATAGAAACAAATCATGTAACAAAAACAACAAAAAAAGGAATATTGTTTCGTCTGACTATATGGCTTTATTTCAATTTTTTAATTTTAATATTTAAACCACGTGTAGTTTGCATGTAGTTTGGCAGGTAAAGTTAGTGAGAAAGTACAAGCGATAAATTTTCGTGGAGGGAATTACTTCTTTTTTTCTGCAATTCCGTCGCAGAAATCAAAAAATTCCCCGAAACATCCACGCGGATGTCATATGCGATAAAAAGAAATGCATAATATCTTAAAAACAATCATTTTTATCTCGTATTCATTCGAATATATCATATTAAAATGGCAATGTTCACCCTAAGTAACCACAAGTTTTTTCTTTTCTGCGTTCTGCTCAAGTCATGATCATGGAAAGAGGCTCGAACCAAATTTGGGAAACCGAGAGAGAAACCATAAAATGCTCATGGAAAGCCTCATGTATCCGAGGTGAAATTTGTCTCGAAGACCTAATAACCTCGTGCACTGATTTTTAGCTTCACTGATAGTGATCGACAACGAAATTATTAGTGGCAAAACAAAACTGAAATAAAACTTTCGTTTAGCTTTCTGCAACATACTCATAATGATATTTACTGTATATAAAACGTAAGCTCGTGAATCCCGGAAGAGCTTGTTTCGGTTTCTGATCCACAGATTTGAAGAACGTAACCAACTAAACGAAATTTATATGACATAACAGCGGCGGTCATACAGTTCTTGATCATGCATGATATTTACAGATATCTCTATTTCAATTGTAAGCGGAAAGGGAAGTTATTACACAGTTTATTTGCTTTCTAAATGAGTCAAGACTGTACCAGTGGTGGGGGGGGGGG